TAATAAATTTATTTATTGTCACATAAATTGATTACATGTTTATAATGTAGTCCCTGACCGCTATAATAGGATAAAGACCTGTGTGACAGGGGTCAGTGCCCACTTCCGAATACATAGATCATAACTATTTATGTAACAAAATAGTTTTACAATAAGACATTACAATATTGAAATAATTGAAGCAATCAGAATTCGATCAGAATAAATAAGTGCGCGTGAGTGTACATTTGTGTGTGTGTGTGTGTGTGTGTGTTTTAGTGAATGTGCGTGCAAGTCAAAAAGTAGGGAACTTAGTTTAACAGCAAAGATTCGGTATAATCATAGTTTAGGGTAAGTAACCATTTTCTTATTTTAATTTTCGCGTCTTTAATAGGTAATGGGTAAAAATCAATTATTTTATTTACTTTATTGTAAAGATACTTAGATAAATAAACAAACTGTCGCCTAGCAAATGCTGTGCGAAATCTTGGTAGATTACATACACTGACAATAGTGCGTTTACTTCTATATTTTTTGGCATTGTATGGGGTATTACGATGCTGCTTTAAAAGAGTTATTTGCACATACTTTTTGACCCCAAAAGGGGGTTTATTTCTAAAGATACATTATTAGTCCATCTTTACACCATCTATAGAGCATACATGTTAAATTTCAAGTCTCTAACTTCAAAAACACAGGACTTTCATACAAACTTCCAACCCCTATATTACCCCTTAGGGTGGAGTGTCGTGATAATATTGTCACAAACGCTCTCGAAACGGAACCGCGAATGTGCTAGAGATCGAATGTGCCAGACAGTGGCGGACTAAGCCCGTCAGAGGCCCGGGGCGGCAATGCTGAATGAGGCCCCCAACTTTAAAAAAATGTAGATTATTATGTTTATTTCGTTAAAACTAGTCTTGTCCAATTCACCATAACATTGTATCAGATTGTCAACTGCTACAGCCAGAGCGTCATCTGAAGCTTCTAGCATAAACTTAGTTTAAATACACACATCAAAAGTGTCTAGGGATCAAGCATTTTTATGCGGATTTCTTGAGATTGAGATGTGGCTTTGTAATAAATTTATGATTTTATAAATTTATATGGATCCTTTTTGGTGCATTTCATAATTTGAATCAGGAACTGTGAATCAAATTCGAGTAAAAGATGAAAATCAGCTGTCAATATTTTCCCTATAAAAACATACAACGCATTGAAGACATTATTAGTGCTACTGTTTCCCTACTACTGATTAAAACCAACGTTATTATGGAGCGGCGACGTCATTTAAGCAGGGAAGAAATGCTCAGAGCCGTGGGAATGATAGAAGCTGGTTCCCGGCAACGTACTGTGGCTTTAGCTCTGAATACAAGTCAGAGTGTTATCAGTCGACTTTGGACACGATACCGAAGCACTGGTACCGTGGCTGAGCGCCATGGAGGACGGTATCGCTGCACCACACGGAGACAAGACCGATACATTCAAATCTTAACTCGAAGAGCTCCAACAATAACCGCCATGATGTTAGCCGTGAGGCTTCATCACTCTTCAGGGAACTTAATTAGCGACCAAACAGTCAGAAACCGCTTGCATGAAGTGAACCTTCATTCCCGAAGACCGCTACGGGTACCACCTATAGCAATGCACAATCGTAGGATTCGATATCAATGGGCTCTTGAACACAGAAATTGGGCAGAAGAACAATGGCGTTTCGTGTGCTTTTCTGATGAGTCTCGTTTTGGTATGAGACCGGATACAAGACGTATACGACACTGGAGAACCCCTGGACGCCAACAGCGATTAAAATCCTGCCAGGAAGTCCATCCTTATAGTGGTGGAACCATCATGGTATGGGCGGGTATTTGGATCGGCGGAAGAACTGAGTTGATTTGGATCAGAGGCAACCTCAACGCTCAAATTTATGCTGAGACGATTGTATCAGACGTCATCGTTCCTCTACAAGTGCAAATCGGTCCCTTATTTCAGTTAATGCATGATAATGCACGACCGCACACCGCAAGAGTTGTAAGACAGACTCTCGCCGCAGCTAACATCAATGTCCTGCCCTGGCCTGCTCAGTCGCCAGACTTGAACCCGATTGAGCATGCATGGGATATGCTACAGAGAAGAGCTCTGCCGAATATGGAGGGTATCCAGTCGCAAGAAGACCTTTTTTTGTTGTTGCAACGAACATGGGCGGCCATTCCACAGCGTGATTTGGATGAACTCATTTTGAGTATGCCAAACCGATGTTCTTGTGTTGTTAGTGTTCGCGGTAGAAATATGGATTATTAATTGTTTAAGTTACCCAATAAAATTTTAGAGAAAACTGTTATTTCAGTCTTTTTTTCGAACTTTTGTGTTAGTGGTTCAAATGTCAAAAATCCCTTTATTAGGAAAATGGCAAATTTCTTTATTAATGCAAAGGTGACTTGGTTTATCGTTACTGTGACAAACGAAAACACTTTATTTGATGAATCCTTAAAGAAAATTTTAATTAATATCAATCAGGAGAAAAGTTATTGCAAAAATATATGTTGATCCCTAGACACTTTTGATGTGTGTAATTTGGAAAATATTCTTAATTTGTTTAATAGCCCAATTCGGAAATTCTTGTATAAAGCGGTCTATGCATTCATACATTGGCCGACGTATTTCTTCTTGAATTGATAATCAATCCAGCATCATGAGCTGATTCACCCGGTATCGTTCTTTTTACCTTCACTTCTCCTGGTTTCTTTAAAGCCTTGTTTAGGATTTGATCAGGGTAACGCGGAGGCATTTGGGGGCCCCCCTAGATCGGATGCCCGGGGCGGGCCGCCCCTTCCGCCCCCCTGTTAGTCCGCCACTGGTGCCAGACCACCGCGGGTCGCGATAGAGGTCGAGTAATGCGGCTCATTCTAAAATGAGCCTTATGCAGTGTGACGTAAGGGAGAAAGTGCAACGACATCTGCACTTGTTTACAAGTTATGCGCGTTACCTGCGTAGGTATAAGTAGGTATTTCGTACTGGGGTGCTAGGTAATTCTCAATTTAACAGGTACTTTTTAGAATGCGTCGATCGGCGTATATAAGCGCGATTGGCGCCGCGCAGAGACAGTTGAGTTTCAACAGCGATTTCGGAGCGAATCCAAAGGCGATCAAAGTGCAACAAAAGTATTCCAGTGCGATAGTTTAGAGACTTGTATAGTGAAATACAGTGTTTAGTGAGTGTTTTGTAAGTAACATTGTTTGGTGAATAAAAAACTGTCAAGCGTGAACTGGTATATAATTTCGAACCCTATCCCGACACGTAACAATATGTAGCCTATATATTGACCCGACTTCTTAATAATATACATACGTGCCAAATTTGAAGTAAATCCATGCAGTACTTTTTGAGTTTATCCTGGACAAAGGTACAGACAAACAGACAAAAATTCTAAAAACTATGTTTTTGATTTCGCTATCGATTGTAGATCACACCTCAAGTATTTTTTATAAAAATATTCAATGTACAGTTTTGACTTTCCTACCATTTTATTATATGTACCTATAATGTTCAAAATGGTTATGTTGTAAGGGTAAAAAAGGGCACCACTTGATATACTGTAGCAATTTTTCTCTGGCTTTCATTTTGTTTCACAATATTTATCCAATTATTTTCAATAATGTGAAATTTATCGACCTCCGTGGCCGAGGGGTTTGTACGCCGGATTTCATGGTGTTGCCGACTCGAGAGGTCCCGGGTTCGAATCCCGCTGGGGGCAGATGTTTATGTGATGAATACGAGCATTTGTACTCCAGTCATGGGTGTTTAATATGTATTTCTATATAAGTATACTTATACATATATGTACAGTATATTATGTATTCTATCCGTTACCCCAGTATCCCATAACACAAGCCTTACAGTGCTTACTTTGGGGCTAGGCTAATTGGTGTGAGTGTTGGAAATATTTATTTTTATCTCAAAATTTTTAATGATATTTAAGAACTATCAATAAATTACAAATTATTATTGCTGTAAATCTATTATTATCTCTTTATAATTTGAATATTCGCGCTTGGTTTAAAATATACTGAGCAGCGGCCTGTTTTATACAAAATCTTTATAATATAATACAATAAGTACTTCAATCAGCCAAAATTTAACCCTAATAGGATCACTCAGTTGTCTATCTATCTGTCTGTCACAGTCGATTTGTTCGGATTCTACTAAACCTGAAAAGGTTCAATGTGAACGTTTAAAAAAATTTACAAATGTAAAATAAATAGTTTGAAAATTATTTAAGAAAAAAGATTAAAATTCACCTGCACATAATTCACGTTGTGTATAAAAAGCTTAATTTTCAACTCCTCTCTAAATATGCATGCCTCTTTCCATTCAGCAAGATGATTAGTTAATTTACCAAAACGCATTCGGTTACAATGTTGATATATCTCTAACAAACTACTTAGTAGGAATTCATACACTTACGTGAACAGTATTTCATAATCAGACCCGTAAAAAAATGGACACTCAGACCCATTCGTTATTGGAATTTAAAAATACATTGCAACAACGCTTCTGGCTTAAAAATGAGGGAATTCTAAAAAATATCTTTGTTTCCTACAAAAAAACTATCTAAAATACGCGGCAAGATTTTTTTATTCTTGCGCATTGAAGACAAAGGAAAATAATTTATGCATCCTTACTTTTCATATTAGTTCTCTTTTACTGATTTCCAACTAATTTAATGCTAGCTTACTGTCTTCATGTTTCTTGGAATATATGTGGCGTGGAAAGTACCTACCGCGTTTTTCTGTGAGGTAGATAGGAAAAAAAGCAATATCTACAAGTACAATATAATGTTTTTTTTTCGCATCTAAGATCTGGCTCAAATCCGGTCTGATGGCTGGATCAGGTGGAAATTTTTCTAGTAAATATGCCAAAATTAATCAAAATCCAATACGGATTTTTGGCATATTTGTATAACAAATATAGAACTAGTACCTCATTTATAAATCAGTACGTTAATGAAACAACAATATAATATTCACAACATTTATACCATAAAGAAATGCGCAATAACCTATGAGTTACAAAAAGTTGATGAATATACATTAGGAGCCATGTTCTGCACTGCATTGTTACCTTATAAACCATCAGCTCTTGAAACAAGTGAAATTAAATGAGCTGATTCTAGCTAGTCTTGGCATTTTATCAAACAAATTTGTCAGAAGATTTACATGAATTGCAGTGCTCAGAAAAGATATCATAATAAAGATCTTCCTTCTTACAATAAAAATTTACAGCCTATATTTTAAACATTATGGAAGTAAAGATTATTTTGTCACTTTTTCCCTGATTTCTTTATGCCACCTTGCGTGAGTGGACCTTTTTGGGATGCCTTGGCTTTCGCTTCCTGAAAAAAGAAAAAAAAAGTTATAGATCATGAAAAAAGTTGAAGTTTTGGTTTCCTTTGACTTATCATTGGCTAAATTATATATTTTTTTTGAGAAAGTTCTATTAGAGTGAGATGAGCATCCTATTTTTAATATTTGACACAATTATAAAATACTGTTGTAAAATTTGGATTTCATTTATTATATTGACAGTGGACAAGCACAATCCCTTATACCACTATGCCACTTCGATCGAAAATAAGTTATTTATATATATATATATATATATATAATTTTAAACAGATTGTTTTTTTGCATCAATCAGTACATGTTTTGTGAAGATTTGATAACTTTATTGGTGCTTAAGCAACTTAATTTTTTGTAGATGTTATTGTTTACAACACTGAAGCGGCATAAATTTTGTTGTTTTTTTAACTAATGCTGCTTAAGTCCTACCTTCCTATGCAGTCCTAAAAACATAAAATCATATGCCACATTCATATGATTTTATGTTTTTGTACAAAAAAATATGGTCGACCGTAAGTGATTTCCACTTAAGCGACATTAATTTGTAAAGGCATTAAGTAACTTTTTAATAGGATGATATTTAGAAAATATTATTTTATGAATATGTTTTTATTTTTATGGCGCTACTTGTCATTAATGATGAGTTCTGTTTTTTTTTATGAAAAGAAATTACTTTGATAATTGTTTCTGTAAAGTTACTAAAGTGATGTTTAAATGAGTTTGCTTTTGCACTGTCGGTATATAACTGGAGTATTGGTGTTTTAAATATCTAACACCATCATGGTGGGTGCTGTTAGAACACAAGTTCTCAATGGTCAGAATATGGAGAGTGCTAACAACTGCAAGTGCAGCTGGGACCATTGGCTTTAAATACATTAAAAGCAAAGCAATTTCTTTAAAATAGGTTTATAATATTTACTTTTTACTGGCTACATTACTGAAACTAAGAGAGAAAAGCAGATGCTTGTAAGAATATAAGAATGCTCAACACCTGCACTGTAATATAAAACAAAGAAGAAAAATATAAATCTAAGAAAAGTTTACTAGAAAAACATCCTTGCGGACCAGGCAGCCGACGGGACTCGAACCCGCACTCTTCGCTATCCGGGCGAATGCACTGACCATTATGCTACCGCGGCCCTGACGGCCGTGTCGAATTTTCTCTAGCCTTAGGCTGTAAGGCAGCGCCATCTCTTTGCATTGTAGGTAACACACACTAAAGACTAGACTGATAATGTGGCAAAATTATTACTAAGCATAATCAACGGGATTGCCACTCGTAAAAGAGGAATATTACCTGAAGAGCTTTCTGTTGTTCCTTTAGCTTTTGCTTTAAGGCCAGATCATCATCATCAAGTTCCTTGCTTTCCTTTTTGGGAGCTTTTAGGGGTTTCTTCTTGCCACCCTCACGGCCAGACATCTGAAGTAACAGAAAACAAATGAAATAAGAAATGATTTTACGTCGAGTGTTTCAGTATTTTGACATCATTTGGATGCCGCATATTTTAGACATAGAAATCTAAAGATAATGTAGGTATACACCCTGGGAAACTTTTTGAGCAGCAACCATAGACAGGGAACCCTACGCAGTAGCAATTTCACATACAAAATCAATCTACTGTGCATTTACATCTAAAGAAAATATAACCAGAAAAATTTCCACGCGGACCAGGCAGCAGACGAGACTCGAACCCGCACCCTTATATTATTATAACTATAATTGCAATTTCTTCTTTCAAATGTTTAATACTTGTAAAAGCATTCATCAGACATTGTGGGTTACCTACAATGCGAAGTAATGGCGCTGCCTTGCAGCTTAAGATTGGCTAGAGGAATTTCGAGGCGGCTGTCAGGGCCACAGTAGCATAATTGGTCAGTGTAGGTTCAAGTCCCATCTGCTGCCTGGCCCGCGTTGAAATTTTTTCTAGTTATATTTTCTTTACATTTAAACAATAAGCAGTTACATGCTTAAAAAATTTGAATTATATCTACTGTGCATGTTTTTCTGTCTGTAGTTATGCTCAAGGAGTTTACAGCTACCTTTATCATGAATCATACAATCAATTTGTATGACAAAAAAGTTATTATTTTAATTGAAGAAATAAAATTTACACATAATGTAAATGTAAAATATGAAAATGATATCTCTCATTATTAAAATCAATATTTCCTTGCTTGTATTTAGTTTATTTGTGTCTCAGGTCTTCACACACATCACTCATTAAATAAATTAGTGTTAACAGGTTACTCCGTAAAACTTTGTTTATTTATTGACGATGCAGACCTGAAAAGGCTGCGAAACGTCAATATATAAATAAAGTTTTGTGCATTAACCTGTTAAAACTAGTTTTATTGTATTTAGTTTAAGCTCTAAATAAAAAGGTTATTATAGCATCCTACTATTATCCTGTTAGTAGGTGACGTTTTGCATTTGCCGCTTCGAAAAGATGGAATAACTTGCCTCCTTCTTTGCGACAGTATTTTAATATCAGAAAGGTGTTCTAAGCAAATGTGGGTCCTTGAACAACAATACGAGCAATACGAGGCGGCAAGTGCATTATATGATGCTATTTAATTACTAGCAGTATTTTAAACTACATTATTGTCGTAACTTCCTAATGTTGTCCTAATTAATGTTTTGCAGGATCTAATAATTGTGAGATGGTGGCAGAATACCAGCGACAATTCAAAACTTAACGTCATATGCTGAGCCACATACCTTTTTGTTTCAATTAAAATTTACTTTCATTCTATTTGTGTATTGTACCAATTGTATTTTGAAACAAATAAATAATTTGTTATTATTATTATCCCAGGATGTGGATTCAATGATAACAATACAAGCAAAGAATGCACTCCCAAAGAGAATGGATATTTTTGCCTAGATTAAAATGTAGGATGAATATTTATTACATTATAATGAAAACACTGGCTTCATAAATGATATCACATTCTCGCATTTATCTAGCACTTTGCTTAAGCAGACTAACGTACTCAATATAATCTGCTCTGAAATAAGTGCCTTATATCAATAATTTCATTGAAAATTACAAGTTAATTTTGCATAATTAATGTAGGTGGGTTAATTTTTATAATGTTCACTGAATATGTTTTGACGCAGTACCAATATATTATTAAAACAATTTCTAACAGCTATAAAGCGCTGTCTATTGAATTGTTATGATTATCCTTAGAGTTTATCAAGAATATTAGAAAAAGTTAATCTACATTTTATAACCTCATCAAAATGGGTTCTACGCAATAAATGCAGATTAATTATGTAATATAGATACGCCATGATAATCAATAAAAAAAACTTACTGTAAATGGAGTTTCCTAAGAAATTTATTTAATTTATTTTAGAAAAAATAACCGAAAACGTGAGAGCACAGCACACCTTTTATTTTTTTGTGGAGAGGAGGAATTTGACGCTTTATTCCCTGTGGTCTTATTGGTTGATGACATTCAAGCTTTGCTGCAATGTCCTAAACTACTAATAATATTCACGATCATAATTATGTGCCTAAAATCCCATTGGTGGAATGTAACTCAAGCTACACAAAACAAAGACACTTACGTTCCGTTCTACATCACTGAGCAAGTAATATTTTATTTTTCTTAACGGAGAGGATCCATTCGAGCAAAATACATTAAAGGTTGCCAGGCGTCCGGATAAAGCCTTCGATTGCGTGTCCGGCTAAAATAAACGGTGTCCGGCTTTTTTTAGGCTAATTCCATTTCGTAAACAATCGAGTGCCGAGCGTGGCCGAGTTCAAGCGAGTAGACTATTGGTCGCTTTTACATAATTTTTTTGATCGTATCTAATACTAGCTGTTTCCTGCGGTTTATTAGGGATATTTTCCCGCAGTAAAATGTAGCCTATATGTTAATCCAGGGTTTCTGAAAAAAAAATTAAAGTCGCTCCAACCGTTTAGACGTGTAGAAGTAACAAACATACTCACAAACTTTCGCCTTTATAATATTAGTGTGATGTAATGTGGTTACTGAGCCACAAAATCCTCAATAATGGGTGTCCGGCCTTTTTACCCAAATTTTTATGTCCGGCCAAACTGGCTGGTCTGTCCCGCTATTAGGTTTGGCGACCTGGCACCGCTATTACATTGGTCTATTATAAAAATGATGTTATTAAAAAATAATAGTTTTATTGGCCAAGTCGTATTGCGATTTGATAAAATTGTTATAAAGCGAACAACTTTATGATCGATATTTACTTTGATACATGTTTCTTATTGATCGAAGTCGAAGTTACTTGTTTCGAAACATGAATGTTTTATTTTATTTCATAGTTTCAATTTTAGCGATGGCAGCATGTTTAAGTAAGTTTTTAAATTTACGAAGACTAGACTTACAGAACTTCCTATTTTTTGATTAAAGGATCGAAATCAAATTAAAAAAAAAATAACAAGAAAAATATTATTTTGGCGCCTTCCGCTTGACTGCCGGAGGTCCTATTCTCTGTCTACGAACGACGACACTGGACTCGACGGTAAGAGTGGAGAAATCGAAAACGCGACTTTCAAATTGTGAATTTTGAAGTCACCAATATAAAACAGAACAATAATATAAATAACAAGCCAAATAAATCTAAATTTTGTCTCAATACGATCCCAACTCAGCATGATGCTGATATTGCAATTGATGGGTGATACCAACTGTACCCTTTGCATGAACTATTGGTGTCGATTCTGGCGTGATTCTCTAAACTTAAAAAAACTAAATTAAACATCACTCTGTCTTTTTCACTCTTTAAAGAGAATGACAAAGATACACTGTTATCAAATTTAAGTTTAGCTTTAGAGAATCATGCCAGAATCGACATCAGTCTCTCCTTTTCATGCTGTATAGAGAATGACAAGGATGCACTGTTGTCAAATTTAAGTTTAGGTTTAGAAAATCATGCCAGAATCAACACCAATATCGAATTGGAATAGTTTGCGAATGCGAAATGTCATTGTCAAATGTGTACTGATTTTTAGTTCCTGTTACGTCCGCTATGGCGCTGGTGTTCAAGTTTCCATAGAAAATTTGACATTGACATTAGGCACTCGCAAACTATTCGAATTCGACATTCGTTCGTGCTAAGGGTAATGCTGGTGCAGCGGAGACTGACGGCTTAACGTGCCTTCCGAAGTACTGAGGTAAGGAGCTCGCGATAATAAGTTTTTGGTCACCCATCCAAAGATCGACCATTGCGTAAGTTGCTTAACTTCCACATTCGCAGACCGAACGCGTACAAAAAGTCAATCCCTAAATAGTCCATGTAAAAATGATTTTTGTATGTTTTCTAGGTGACAAGTGCTTACAACCCTTAGATAGTGGCGGCTGCTTAGACTACGTTTCTAAGTACGTAATGATTTTAGTTCTATCGAAGTGAATCATTTTTTTTGGACGGGGTGTAAACGGAAAAATCCTATGGAAAAAATAAAACGGAAATGCGTTCTGAGCGTCACACGAATATATGTATATAGCTCTTCGAGACGAAGACTATATACTATACGTATGTTATACTGATATAAATGAAAATCTTTTGAATAAGTTGGATCGACTTCTCAATAACTGCATCCGCTTCATATATGGCTTACGTAAATACGACCATATTTCACATTTTCGTCATCAGCTCAAGTGGCTTCCTATTCGTGAGCGTAGGAACCTCAGAGTTGTTTGTGCCCTTTTTAATCTTCTGTTCGATCCACATACACCAGTTTACCTAAAAAGCAGATTTAGGTTTCTGAGTGATTCTCATGACCGTGTTCTCCGTTCAACGGACAATCTCCTTCTGCATACTCCCGTCCATTCTTCTGGCTTCGTCTCCCACTCTTTCACTGTCACGGCTGTACGACTCTGGAATGACTTACCCCCCAATATACGTAAAGCTCCTAACAAAATTGCATTTAAGGGATTGGTTCGTGAGCACTATCTCAATAGCATTAAACAGCGTTCTCATATTTGACTGACAAAACCATGTATTTATGTATGTATTGTATAATATGTGTGTGTGTATGTATGTGTGTATATGTATATATATATATATATATGTGTGTATGTGTATAATATGTATGTATTCTGTTAAGAGTATTTGTATCATTGGTTTATCTTAAATTTGTCTTTATTGCGCCCCGTCATATTAGATTTTTTCTCACGCTCTTACTGGTCGACTGGTAGAGAATGCCTTATGGCATTATGTCCGCCATTTGCTTTGTAATTTTGCAATAAAGTTTAAATAAAATAAATAAATATATACTCTTCCACATGAAAGTTGGAGGATAACTCGGCGAAGGCTGCAACGCTATGAGCGTCACACTCGACATTATATATGTACATATATAAAATATGTCATGGCCACATCATAGATTTGCTCACTTCATGAAATGCTCGAGAATTTCATGAAATGGTCGCATTTCATGAAATGTTTCACTATCTATTGTCCAAATCATGATGTGGTTTGGGAAGATCAATGATGAGAAATCGTTTCACGACATGGCCAACTAAACGCGTGGCTAATTCATGAAAAGGCAAATTTATTTGATCACTAGCTGACCCAGCGAACTTCGTACCGCCATAAAAAAATAGGGGTTGGTAGTAGAAGGGTGAAAATTTAGGGTTTACTAATGCTGTATCATAAAAAAATTAAAAAAAATATATATATAAAATTGAAAAAAACAATTTATGGGTGGATTACCCTTAACATTTAGGGGGATGAAAAATAGATGTTGTCCGATTCTCAGACCTACCCAATATGCACACAAAATTTCATGAGAATCGGGAAAGCCGTTTCGGAGGAGTTTAATCACAAATACCGCGACACGTTAGATATTTTAAAGTAGTTACAATCATTACCGGTAGAGGCGCTGCAAGCGCTTTGTTTATATATGCATAGGGACACGATATCGAATAGAAAGTATCGATACTGTACTCATGAGTAGTATCGGTAAAAAAGTATCGTACTCGTAAAAGTATCGAAACAAAAGTATCGATACTTCAAAGTATCGAGTACATTTCATAGGGCCTTATCGGATCCTCTGTGGCCCGATGAGCAACCCCCGTCCCCCCACCCCGGGTTAAAAATTGAAAGAAAAACAATCCAATTTTATTATAGTACGTATAATAACAGTAAAAGGACATATAAATTCACAAATTGCTATATTATATAATGAAAAGAAAATAGCTGTGATTTCTGACACTTAAAAAGTGTTCATTAATATCACATTAATAATTAAAATGTTACTTGAATCTGACACGCAGTTAACGGCGGCCATTGGCATGCTTCACTCAATATTATAATTATAGAAGAGGTTACGTCCGTTTTTTTTTCAGGTCCGTGGTTTCAAATAGGTATACACAGCACAGACAGAATAATAGTGTTACACTTGAATACATTTTTTTTTTTTTATAGTTAGGTCTGACAAATGACTCCACCCCACCTGATGTTAAGTGAAGGTGAAGTCCAGACGCGAAGATAGCTGATACAGCAGTTCTACCTGCCACACCAGCCATCCTCACCCTGCCGGCCTGCATGTTGCTTCTTCACGCCTCTTTTAAAGGATCCCAGGTTGTAAGAGGGAGGGAACACGTGAGCGGGCAGAGCATTCCATTTACGGATAGTGCGACAAAGAAATGAGTCACCAAATTTCTTTGTACGCGTTGGAATTGTGGCCACAGGTGACAACGTAGGCCAGCGAGCGTGGTCCTCTGAAGGAAAGGGGAAGGTGGGATAAGAGAGAATAACTCCTCAGAACACTCGCCGTGGTACAAACGATAGAACGCGCTTAGTGACGCGCCACGTCACGGCGTAATTGAAGAGGCTCAAGGTGTTTAGTCACCTCCTCATCGCCTATGATGCGGATCGCGCGCCGCTGTAACCTATCCAAAGCATCGAGCAAGTACTTGGCGGAGCCATCCCAGAGGTGCGAGCAATATTCCACGCAGGACCGCACTTGCGTTTTGTACAACAAGCACAGTTGATCGGGCGCGAAAAAACGCCGCACCTTGTTCAGGACTCCGAGTTTGCGTGAAGCTGTTTTGATCACGGTTTCGATGTAGTCCTTTGGATTCAGGTCTGAGCGAACTTCAATACCGAGCATGGAAATGTTGCTCTGCAGCGGTAGTGTTGTGCCCTGAAGAGATGGAAGGGGAAGGAATGGCGATGTTTTTGCCGTGAAAGCGCAAGTCTGAGTTTTCTTGGCATTGAACCCAACCAAGTTCCTGGTACCCCATTCGGAAATGTGGTCCAAAGCCTGATTGAGCTCAATGACAAGATTTTCCCGTTTCTCCCTGGTTACTGCCCACCCAGCCGCTGCTTGTCCGAGATACCCCGCATGCACTGTACTATCGTCTGCATAGCAATGAATATTCCCAAGAGGAATCAAGTCATTGATATGCAG